CGTATATAACAAAGAGTTCAGAGACTATATCACGGCGTCAAGATTAAAATAACTCTTCGATGAGACGCGTACCTCTGTTTCATCAGAGCAAGGATGGTGTGTAATGAAGTAGTCACCCCAGAAGTTGGGATGATAGACTGCACACTGCCGCACGACCTGATGGCCTGCGGCATCAGGTGACTGAGGACTCACGGCCTCCATTTCTCGAAGGCTTGACGAGGTGGACAAGAACGGCGTGGTTGATGCAGAGCACCCTCATGGCTCGGTGTCTTATAGGCTCCATGGAGGACTTGTGGTTTGAGCAGCTGAATAATTGAGGCCGTGATGCTGAATAATTGGCGTTGAATAATTGATGAAGAACGATTCAATTGGAGCCAATAAAAGAATTAAAACATGTGTTAGCTACATATGCTTTTCGTAACGCCTACACTAACTCTATTTTCTGTATGAGACAAAAGGTTTTAGACTTTGTGATTCTATAATTAAGAAATTAATTATATATTTTTATATTATTTTTAATAAAAGTTTTAAAACTCTAAAGCTATTAAAATTTCAGTAGTCATCCGATAAGAAGTTGATAAGACATATGATACATTACCTATTATTAATATCTCATCCGAATTTTCTCAATAATTCTAATTCAAGTTATTTTAGTGATACTGAAACATATTCAAGAAAGTTTCATAATATTTTATAAATATATAAATCTGGTGATTTTACATGTTTGTTTTAGAATCTAATTGTTTTGATGTTATAGATAAAAAAAAAGGTATAAGCAATTAAAAAAGAATTATAAACAATCGAAAAAAAAATAAGTCTCTCTCTCTCTCTCTCACACACACATATTAAAACTATTACTTGATTCTGGAAGCTGATACCAAATGTGTTAATATCGAATACAGCCGTCTGGTATTTCGGATGAAGATCCAACGGGATTTGAATCTACACCTCATTTTGCTCGAGAATGATTATTGATATAATTGTAGCAAGTTGATGGGTGAGAGAGACTGCGATTCTGATGCCCAACCTACCAAAATGTGTGATGCGGTCCCTCTGAGCTCAACTCAGCCGTTCATCGGAGATGAGTCGATATTGTTCACATATAACGCTCACCATATCAATATATATATATAATTTTTCTCGTCTCAATATCAATCGTCGATATTGTTAAAAAGAACTAAGATGATCTAACTTGAATCTCACGACAAATATATATATATATATATATATATATATATATATATGACAACTTCTGTATCTTGTTATTATCAAAGCACCATTGTATATATTGGCAACTACTCTTGTCGTGTACTTGATTCCAAAGTTTCCGAGCTTGTTGGGGATTGGTCTCCAAGTTAGACTTCATAATATGTTTGAAGTCTTTCAAATGTTTCCTCGCTGCTGTAATGTTATGATATTTCAAGTGGTTGAAACTTTTTATTTTGCTTCACTTATTTTCAGTTTAGAAAGAATATTGAGAGGGTTAAGATTATCTCTCTCGGAACATTTCGATCTCTCTTGTTAGACAAGAGAAGCTCTAAGAGAGAGAGAGATGGCGCAGAGACATTAAGAATCAGATGAAGAGTCTCTCGCACAATATTGTGTCTCCACACATCAATTATTTTCCCACGCATGTCTGAGGACAAGTCGCCACCGATCAGCAAACAAAAATAGATAGCTACGGTAGAAACATTACAAAAAAGCTTTAGAACATGGGTATAAAATAAACGGTATCTAGCGTTGTACGCAAAAGATTTAGAAATAAAATATCAAACTCAACAGGGATGTTCTACTCAGAAGAAACTCCTAAAGAATATAAGTTGTCACAAATTTAAGATGATTAAATAGTGCAGTAAGTATGATTACACTTTTGTCTCCAGGAAGCACTTGCAATCCTAATTTTCAGGGACAACATGGTGCTTTCCCTGCACAGCAGCAACATAGGAACTATAGAGAGCAGTAAATTTCTCCTTGTACGGGAAAAGATATTTGTTTATGAACTTCCCCTCGGTAAGTAGCATGACAGACATAAGGCTATGTCCTTTATCCAGCAATTTATTATGCTCAAGAAAATTCATAACTTCATACCGAGGTCTCATCCTCTTCTCCAAGCTACGTGAAAGAATCCCAGGTTGGCGAATGATATCCTGCATCTCACAACCAGCTTCCTTTATCAGGAATGTCATCTTGTCAGATATGTTCTTCTTCGAGAGTTTCCAAACAAATGGGTTATTCCTGAGTATGGCAAAGATGTCTGGCTCGGACCAACCAAAGCTCTTCAAGGTTGCAAAGGTAGCATCACAGTTAGATCTGCTAATGTTCAAGACAGCAAGAAGTGCATAAGGGAACATTCCAGAATCATGTGGCACACCCAACTCCTCAACATGTTCAATAACTTCCTTAATAAATTTGTTTTTTCGAATAACAAAACCCGGGATCATCACCACCATACGCGCGATGTGTTCATCGCTGATGCCACATTCCCTTAAGAGAGATATATTGGGCTTTATCGTCCGAGCTAAGCTAGAAGTAAGAAGAAATCGGTTCCTACTGCAGGCTTTCAGTAACCTCTCATTAGAACCAAGTAGTGACTTCAAGAAGTTCAACTTCGGTTGGACATTCTGAAAGAGTATAGTCGGACATTTTGAAACCAACTGAACTATTTCAGTAACAGAAAATCCCATGTCCTGCAAAGATCTCATCCTGGGCTTCAGTGTAGTCTCTACGTTAGCACGCAGCAACTTGGGTAACTTCTGGGTAACTTTCATGACTTGTGCATCGCTCCAACCGTTCTGCTTGAAGAACTCAATGGAAAGACTCGAAGAATTTTTACGACAGGTGTGATACTTGGCTGTTTTTGCAGCCTTTTCTGAGGAAAGTTCACATGATTGAAGGGGGTTGACCACTATCAAGTTGGAACTGTGCTCTGAACTTTCGTATGTGGCAGTGGAAAAGTTAAACAGGCCGCAAAGTTGATAGGAGGAAAGATAAATGGAGGAATTGTTACATGGGAAAAGGCAAAAGAGCCTTTTTTGCACCAAAAACATCATCTATAAGTCCAACTCCTCTTCTACCTCAGATCAAGCGCATCGAAACTAAATATATTTTCTGTATCTGCTTCCAACCAAAAGGAAGTTGAAAACTTCAAGCTGATCATCTGTATCAGATAAAATTCTTCACATAAATCCAC